CAAATTACTCGCTCTATTAACTTAAAAAGGTACTCAGCCAAACTGGCATATGTTCATGACGTAGTATGGAAGTATTGTGGTACTTCGTCGATAACAATTTGGGGGGGGGGGGCAAAAAGATATGTTTGCACCCCCACCCTGGAAGATGGGGGGGGGGGGCGCCGTGCCCCCGCTGCCCCCCCCCCCCCCCGCTTCCGCCGCCACTGCCTTCTAGATAAGTCATTGTTTGCATTTCTTCTTCGTAGTCTCAGAAGTCATTACTATTCTGACATTGTCGGCACGAGAGCAATATTTGTGCAGCGTGCAATGGCAGTCAGACCAATATGCAACTAGTGGCCCTGGCGCTGACAGCATGGACGGTGGAGTGCAAAACAACAGGCCTATTGCCGATAAGTATCACCGTGCGTGAGAAAAACGTTAAAGCACGAGACACCACTGTGCCATAGACTAGTGCCAAACACTCCTCAGTCCTCGTATATCATACTCAGTGATAATAACTACATAGACTAGCGTCACAGTCAAGTAACATAAGACTCGTTCAGTTCGGCCGGAGCCTCGGCCAGGTGCGGACGTGCGTGCGCGGCGCTCCGCAGGCCGGGCGGTGTGGCGGGGCGGTGAGGTGACCCGGTCAGGTCGGGCAGTCACTGTTGGCTGACGCCACTGCCGGCCCCGGGCGGCGGTAACAGAACCGCTGAGAGACAAGTGTAGAAGGACAGCAAAGGTGGAATCGTGAAAAGTGTGAGCGGACTGGTGCTTTACCACGCGGTGCTGGACGGTGCTGATCGGGCGTGGCTGAGGCGGCGCAGTATGAACGGCGCTGCTGCGCACGAGTCCGTCGACTCGCCAGACTCGCCGGTGGCGGGGCCACGCCCCACACCGCCGGTAAGGAGGAACGAATCCACGCTGCGACAGCGCTCAGTCACGGATATGATCCGCCAAATGGACAGCTCTAGCGCCTCGTCAAGTAAACGCGGCAGGGGGGACTCCGAGTCGCCCGTAAATCCAGTCTCCAAGTCTCGCGATACAGCGAGCGACTGGGAGAAATTCGAGACGATGCTCGACACGGCGCTGGCCAGGCTGAGAGAGCAAATCCAGTCTGATTTCGATCAATTTAGAGAAGTCATGAAGGAACAGTTTGTAACAATGGGTCAGCGGCTGCGGAAGGTGGAGGACCGGCTGGCGGAGAAGGAGGCAGAGCTGGCGGGAGTGAGGGCGACTCTGAAGGACACCCAGCGGGAACTCGGAGAGCTACAGACGCAGGTGGAGGAGAACGAGCGGGTCTCCAGACTGCCGTCGCTCATCCTGTCTGGCTCCGTCGTCCCCAAAAAGCCGTCGGCCGGCCAGATGCCGGCGGCAGGGGAGAGCGTCGAGCAGCTGGCGGTGGACCTGCTGCGCCGACACTTCACGGACCTGAAAGTGACACTGCGCGACATCGACAGAGCTCATCGGCTGCCGGGTAGAGGGGACCCGCGGATCATCTGCCGATTCGTACAGTCCGGGACCGGATCCATCCGAGACGCCGTCTATCAGCGCAGACTGGAACTGAGAGGGAGCGGACTCTATGTCAGCGAGTGCCTGTCCCGTAAGCGTGCAGAGGTGCTCCGGACACTGGGTGAGGCCAAAAAGGACGGTAAGATTTATACGGCTTTTTCTCGACAGGGACATGTGTTCTATAAGCTCAAGAAGTCTGGTGAAAACGTACGCGTCGACTCGGTGCAGGAGGTGCTCCAGAAATTCATGACCTAGTGATTTGGGCTGTATATGCATAGTCAGTGGAGCCTTCTCGTACAGAGACGCGGGCACCGAGCCGGGTAAAAGCCGGCAGCTCTAGCGACGCCCACTGTGCCTGAAGTCTGAGCCAGGTCAGACTGACAGCGCGGTCGGCCGGTCGGCGCAGCGGGGAGGGGTGTGGGGAGACGGCGTCTGGCCGGTGGACGGGACCGGGAACTGGGCCTGGGCCTGGGCCTGGACCGGGGGCTGGTGTTGTGAGAGGGATGGGGTGGGGTATGCCGGAGGGGATGTTCGAATGAACTGGCCGGAGTTGACGTTCCTGTGTCACAGTGACGTCACGTCATACCTGGACTGAGTAGAGGTCCAGACCAGACGTCAGGGAGGGGCGGGACGAAATAGGGAGCTGACAGGACCCGGCGGCCGCTCTGCGCTGTCGGGGCCGGCCGTGTACAGGGATGTCGCGCGACTAAGACCCGTTCGGAGCTTTCGTGCAATTACGCTCAGTTTTTGTTTTCGCTTCGTAGGTTAAGGGACGGTGAAGTGTCCGCATGTGTTGCTAGCTTGTTAAGGAAACTGTGTCTGGTGTTGTGTGTGCTCCGGGCCGCACCGTACCGTGGTTAATCTATACGTGTCGCCGCTCGGGGGTTGTCGGTGGCGTCGGCGTGCCAAACGCCGAATTAAAGTAGCTGACAATTCATATAGTATCATTGAACGTAAATGGGCTCAAAGCAACAAGTGGCACAGTGCCAAAACGACGTAAGCTGTTTACATGGCTGAAAAACATGAACGCCGATGTAATATTATTGCAGGAGACGCACAGCGACCAACAATTAGAAGCAATCATTAGAAACGAGTGGGGCGGCAAATGTTTCTTCGCCCACGGCGACAGTAGGAGTAGGGGTGTGGCCATCTTCCTGCTCCCAGGAAGTAGAATAGAATCTCTTGGAATTGACACTTGCAAAAATGGGCGATATATTGTCATGCAAGCCGAAATAAATGGGGCAGTGATTGTAATCGCGAACATATATGGACCCAACTATGATCAACCTGGAGCTTTGGAAGAGCTGTTTCAAAGTATTGAGCGCTTCAGTTGTGACGCTATGATTTTGGGAGGCGATTGGAATACTGTGTTAGACATGAAAATTGACAGACTTACCAGGGCAAAACGAGTTGTTAACAACCACAGGTGTCAAAAAGCAATTGCACAATTCATGGATTACAAAGACTTGGTGGATATCTGGCGTGTGAAAAATCCGGGGAAGAAAAAGTTCACCTACCAGCGAAGTCGCCCGATGAGCAAATCGAGGATCGATTTTTTTCTTATTAGTGAATGTTTGCTTTCACAACAAATCAAACCGACAGCAAAAATACTTGATGGATATCTGGCGGATCACAAACTGATTACCTTAGAAGTGCAAATTGGGAAAACAGCGTGGGGGAAGTCTTACTGGAAATTAAACAACAATCTTCTTCTCAACGAAGAATACGTAGATTATATGAAGCGTTTTATTCCTGAAACCATAGCATCAAATGATACTGAAGGCATAAGTAAACATACGGTCTTACAGACTGTGCTATGTGCTATCAGGGGAGAGTCGATTAAGTTCTCCAGCAGAATGAAGCGAAAAAGATCAGAACGACTTGAGCTGCTGCAAAACGAAATAAATTCAATATGTGACGAGCCAAATGAAAAGGAAAGAGAACGACTTTTTAAACTAAAACAGGAGAGGGATGAATTAGTAGGTGAACAAACTCAACGAAACATGTTTCAGTGCAAAGTAAATTGGCGAGAATTTGGAGAAAAGGGTTCAAGATACTTTCATAAATTAATGCGTGTTAAAAAGGGTTTTAGGCCATACATGGCCTTAGAATTAGAAAATACCGCTCCCGGTAAAATATCCAGTAACATTGAGGACATGCTGGAGGAGTGCGTTGTTTTCTTTGAAAAACTGTACGCGCCATGCCGAGTATCACCAGAGGCAAACTCGGGAACTTTCCTATCCAATATTAAGCCGTTACCTCACGACCGAATTCAGATTGGGGAACAGCCAATAACCATCACGGAACTGGAATCAACTTTGAAAACGATGGGAGAAGGGGCTAGCCCAGGTCCCGATGGTTTTACGTCTGAGTTTTACAAAGTTTTCTGGAACGAATTAAAAGAATTGATTTTCGGGGTAATTCAGGAATTGATAGAGATAGATAAAGCTCCATCGTTGTTAACATGTAGTACCACCACCTTAATACCCAAAAAGGGTAAAAGTACTCACTTGGTGAGGAACCTGAGGCCTATTAGTCTCTTGAATGTCTTGTACAAGCTTATTACGAAGACATTAGCTATAAGACTCGGCAAAATGATTAATGATCACATCAATGAAGATCAAACAGGATTTTTAAAAGGAAGATATATCGGGGAAAACGTAAGACTCTTAATAGATCTGATGAACGAATCTAGCGAGCAAAACATTCCAGGTCTCATAATGTTTTGTGATTTACAGCAGGCATACGATAGTGTGAATTGGAATTACTTGATTGAAGTAACTGATAAGTTCAACTTTGGACCGAAATTTAAACATTGGATATCCATGTTGTACAGAGACTCGGATCAAGATCCTGTTACGGCGCGAATAACTTTGAACGGACACCTGTCTCGGCCTTACAGTATCAGAAGGGGATTGCGGCAGGGGTGTCCCTTGAGTTGTCTTCTGTTTTTACTATGCATCGAACCTTTCGGCGAAACTGTTCGTGCCAGAAATAGTATTGCTGGCATACACATAAACGGCTTTGAAGTTAAGATGTCCGCTTACGCGGATGACACAGCATTAATTCTAGACGGAACGGAAGGAAGTTTACTTGCAGCACTGAAAACCTGTGAGGAGTTTGAAACGGTGTCAGGACTAAAACTGAACAAAAGTAAAACGAATATCATGTGGATAGGAAGAAATAAAATAAGACAGGATATTCTATGTAAAGAATATGGGCTAAATTGGACAAAACAGGTGAACTATTTAGGAGTTGAAATAGGCCCGATGATGAGGAACATGGCAGAGGAAAATTATGCAAGCAAAATAGCTAAATTAAAAAATTTATTAAACCCATGGATAAAACGTGGATTAACGCCTTTTGGTAGAATTCACTTAATCAAATCAATGGCGCTGTCCCAACTCGTTTATCATATGTCGGTGTTAGAAAAACCTAGTAAGAGGATGCTGAAAGAACTGGAGTGTCTAATGTTCAACTTCATATGGAACGGGAAAAGAGATAGAATCAAAAGGACCACGATGAAAAACCATTATGGTGAGGGAGGGCTGCAGGTTCCTGATCCATCAGCGCAAGCGGACAGCCTGAAAATAATGTGGATCAAAAAATTTTTGGATGAAAATAATCACGCTAAGTGGAAATTTGTAGTGCAAAACAAACTCCTAATAGGAGGAAATCTTTCAATATTTGAATGTAAGCTATCCAAAAGGGAGGTCGAATGCAAGTTCCCGGACAAATTCTGGAGGGAGATTTATCTAGCTTGGCAAACAATGGTTGAAGTGTACTGGGCACTGGCAGCGCTGATTGTACTGTGTTGTATTGTGTACTGCAGCGCTGATCTATTTCGCCGGCACGCTCGGATTGGTGCACGTGCGGGCGATCGAAAAATCAAGGATGTGCCGGCGGCCGGCGGCAGCGGCCGACTCGGCAGTGCGAGTCAGGCGGGTGCGGGGGAGTGTTGTTTTGTGTGCAGGTGCCCATTGCGAGAGTGAAAATATAATTTCGGATCACAAGCTATTTCGGCACAATGGCGGGCCTGGACGTTAAGCTGATCCCAGAGTTTGACGGGTCGGGAGAAGATCACGTGGTGGACTGGATCGAGAAAGTGGAGATGGTCTGCACGCTGCAGACGCCGGCGGCCCCACAGGAGTGCGTGATTCCGCTTAGGCTTAGAGGTGGTGCGCTCTCTGTGTACCGGCAACTTCCCAGCGAGGATAAGAAGGACGCCGAGAAGGTGAAGTCGGCCCTGAGAAGGGCATTTGCCTTGGATAAGTTTTCTGCGTATGAACGTTTCGCAGAGCGGCGGCTCAGGCCAGGCGAGTCCGTGGACATATTCCTCGCTGAGCTGGAACAGCTGGCGTCACTTTTTGGCGGCATGACAGAAGAAGGCATCAGCTGCGCCTTCGTGACGGGACTACCGGACAGTGTCAGGCAAGTGCTGAAGGCAGGGGCTCGCGTCGACTCTCTCCCCCTGCGTGAGCTGGCTGATCGGGCTCGCGCCATCTTGCGTGAGAGTCAGGGAGTGGTCGCCATGGCAACCGGCAGTGACGTCAGCGGACCCCGGCGCCGGTGGAGCCGCGGGTCGGCGGTGGAAGCGGGCGCAGGGAGACGGGGACCGTGCTATTCCTGCGGCCAGTTCACTCACTATGCTCGCGCGTGCCCGGCACGTGACGTTACGGGACGCCCCGCTGGTGGTGAGGCGCGGACCCCGCGACAGCAGCGGATCTCCGACGAAGGCGAGTCACCGTCGCCTTTCGGGCGTGCGGGCAGCCGGTGCACCCAGATTCAGTGCTATCGGTGCAGGAATTGGGGCCACATCGCCGCATATTGCCCGGAGGGAAACGACCAGCGAGGGGAGGCACCTGCGCCGGCCTCTTCTCGGGATTGAAGTGGGCTGGCGCACTGCCGATAAAGGAGCTGGATGTGAATGGGGCGAGGTGTGCAGCGCTCGTGGACACCGGCTGCAGTCGGACTCTCGTTCACGTCTCGCTGTGCAGGCGGTGGCACCGGCGTGAGCTGCACGCGGTGACTGTGAGCGGTGAGCATCTGAAATGTGTTGGCATTGCTGATGTGCGAGTGGCCGTACCGGGGCTGCGGCGGGTGACGGTGAGCGCGCTGGTGGTGAGGGATAAGCCACTCGGCTTTTCCATGATAGCGGGCATGGATGCAGTGAGAGAGCTCGGTGGAGTGCTTGTCCACTCGCCCGGTGATGTGCACTTCGGCTGTGAGCCGGCAGGAGAGGCGTGCGCTGCGTCGCCGGTGAAGGAGGGGTCGCTGCGAGTCGACAGAGAAGATTTCTGCGTCACCTTCGACCCGGTCCGGCGGGAGTGGACAGTGTCATGGGAGTGGTCCGCTGGTAACCCACCGCCCGACCTGGCCAGTCACGTGGACGAGTACCCAGTGCCGGCAGAAGCGCGTGCCGAATATGAGGCGGAGCTAGACGACTGGGTGAAGAATGGGTGGCTGCGAGAGTATGATGAGAGCGAGATGGGTCCCCCGAAGGGGCTCATTCCGCTGATGGCGGTCGTCCAGAAGACAAAGGTCAGGCCGGTCATGGATTTCCGGCCCCTCAATCGTCACCTGACAACTCATACGGCAGACGCCGACGTCTGTGCAGAGCAGACGCGCAGGTGGCGGCGGATGGGAACGGACGTGGCCTTGTTGGACCTGAAGAAGGCTTACCTTCAGATTCACGTCGACAAGAAACTCTGGCCTTACCAAACAGTGATCTACAGAGGAAAGCGGCATTGTCTGACGAGATTGGGTTTCGGCATGAACCTGTCGCCCTCCGTGATGAAGGCCGTGCTGGAAACTGTGCTATCGCAGGACGCGAAGGTGGAAGCGGCCGTGTCATCATATGTGGACGACATTCTGGTGAATGAGGCGGTGCTTCCGGCCCGAGACGTGGCTGAGCACCTGAGGAACTTCGGACTGGAGAGCAAGGAGCCGGTGAGGGCAGACAGCGGCGCTCGCGTCCTGGGTCACCGTGTCTGGGGGGAACGTGACGGGCACCTCCGGTGGCGCCGGGACAGTGAAGTGTGCGCGGACGTGCTGGCGACACCAGTGACAAAGCGAAGCGTGTTCTCGCTGTGTGGACAGCTTACAAGCCATTACCCTGTGTGCGGCTGGCTCCGTCCTGCCGCCTCGTTCGTGAAACGACTGGTGAGTGAGGCTGCGCACGGGTGGGACGAGCCAGTTCGTGATGAAAATGTCGTGCGGCTGGTGAACGAGTTGGTGGCGAGAGTGAGAGCAGATGACCCAGCGAAGGGTCAGTGGGATGTCGGTGACGGTGTAGCGACTGTGTGGACTGACGCAAGCTCACTCGCTCTCGGTGTTGCTCTCGAAGTGGGAGGTGAGATTGTAGAGGACGCGAGCTGGCTGAGGCCTCGTGATGACGTCAGCCACATAAATCTGGCCGAGCTGGACGCGGTGTTGAAGGGGGTTAACCTGGCCATTCAGTGGGGAGTGTCAGTGATGCGTCTCATGGTCGATTCTCGGACTGTGTATCATTGGGTTAGTGACCTGCTGAGTGGTCGGGCGCGACTTCGATCGAAGGCGACGTCTGAGATGTTGATCAGGCGCCGGCTCGGCACACTGAGGGCTCTCGTCGATGAGTATGGCTTGAGTGTGAGCGTGTTCAGTGTCTCGTCTGCCTCTAACAAGGCCGACACACTGACGAGGGTGCCGGAGAAGTGGATGAAGGGGCGGACGGCGAACGGAGACGCCGCAGCGGTCGCCGACTCCGGCGGGGCGGCTGTCTCAGACACAGCCGCGGCCGGTGGCACCGCCTCGTCCGACTCCGACGGAGACGCTGTCAACGCCGCGCTCGGCACGGCCGGTCCCGCGCCGGCTCGCGGAGACGGAGACGGCGAGACAACCACGTCGGGGAACGGCCGCCAAGAGGACGATGACGCCCTATTGAATGAGGTGAGGAGAATTCATCACACGGCTGGGCATCCGGGCATTCGAATGACGTACTTTTTCGTGAGACGCGCCCTCCCGGAGGTGTCTAAGAGTGTCGTCAGAGAGGTTGTTTTGGCCTGTGAAACGTGCCGCTCTATCGACCCTGCGCCGGTAAAATGGAAGAAAGGTGAACTGTCAGTTGCTACGGTGTGGGAGCGCGTAGCGATGGATATCACGCACTTTCGGGGCGGCACTTACCTCACGCTGGTCGACTGTGGTCCGAGCCGGTTTACCATATGGCGGCCCTTGCGGCTGCAGACGAGTGCAGCGGTGATTGACCAGCTTGAATCTGTGTTCTGTGAGCGCGGCGCGCCGAGTGAGATACTCACTGATAACGACCCGGCTTTTCGGAGCAGGCAATTCCGAGCCTTTGCGTGTCACTGGGGGATAAAAATGCGTTTCCGGTGCGCTCATGTGCCCTCTGGGAACGGAATGATTGAACGCTGTCATAGAACTGTGAAGGTCATCGCGGCTCGAAAAGACTGCACTATTAGGGAGGCGGTTTTCCGCTACAACGTGCTCCCACAAGATGACACGACGGCGGACTCAGCTCCGGCCTGTCGGCTGTATCAATACAGAGTGCGCGTGCAGGGCGTGGATCAGGATAACGTAGCTCGTGAGTGGAAGGCGACGGACCCAAGTGTATTTTGTCCAGGAGACAAAGTGTGGGTTAGGCCGCCCGACGGGCGGTGTGACAGCAGGGACGGCGCCACAGGGGGGGCAGAGGGGGCAGCCGCCCCCCCAACTCTGAACACTGGGGCCCTCTTTCAGCCAGCAGGTCAGGTATGGGCGGAATACTCTCTGACTGTGCAGAAAGAAGACTTCTGGGCAGAGCTGTAGAAATGACTTCAGGAGTGGGGAATTAAGCCAAAAGGGGCCTTCTCAAGGTGCCGCCGCCAAGATAAAACTTACGGGCTTTGGCCCATGTTTTTGGAAAAGGGCCCAATTAAGCACAAAAAAAGTGAAAGAAAATCATTTATTTTGTATCTTGGGTGATTGTGGCCCTGTCCTATCTTCCCAGGCTGTAGAAAGGGCCCGGGCCAAAGAGGGCCCATGCCACGTCTGAGAGGGCCCATTCAATATATGAAAGGGCCCAGGCAAGGTCTGGGAGGTAAGTACCATATTATGTCTGAGAAGGAGAGGGCCCATACCAGTCATGACAGGGCCCGCAGCGGTGCTCAGATGGCCCTTGGAAGGAGTGCGAGAGCATGTAAAATGCCTGAGAGGGCCCATACCAGCCGTGACAGGGCCCATATCAGTACTGAGGGGGCCCATAACAGTACTGAGGGGGCCATCGCAAGTAATGTGAGGGCCCGTACCTTGACATATTACTGAGGGTTATGTCAGTCAATGGCAATCATGGAAGGGCCCCCAGCAGTACTGAGAGGACTGTTGCAATGACATGGGAGGGCCCGCACCATACCTGAGAGGGCCCATACCACTCATGCGAGGGCCTGCAGAGTGCAGCAGTACTGAGAGGGTCATTAAAAGGTCTGGTGAGGTCCTTAGAATGTCTGAGAGGGAGTACATAGCAGGCCTCAGAAGCCCCCTAGTAGTATAAAAAGGCCCATATCAAGCCTCTGAGGGTCCCTACCAGTCAAAAAAGGGCCTTTACCGGGCTCCAATGGCCATGCCAAACTGAGGATCTACCGAACTTCAGAAGGCCCATACCAGGCCTCAGGGGCCCCAACTAGGCTTCAGAAGGATCATATCAGGTCTCAAGGGGCCAAGCCAGGTCTCTGAGGCCTCTACTAGGCCTTAGAAGGTTCATAATAGACTTAATGGGGACCAGGCCACAAAGTGCCTATACCAGGCTTCAGAATGTCCATACTAGGCCTAATGGGGCGTAACAGGTCTCTGAATGCCCATTCAAGACCTCAGAGGGCCCATATCCAGTCTCGGGGGAACATAGAAATTAGGCCTCATAGGGTCCCTATGATATCGAAATCGCCCGCGAGTACGCCGCACTAAACCCTGGCCGCCGGTCAACCTTCGGGGTCAACCGTACCATACTTGAGAGGGCCCATACCACTCATGCGAGGGCCTTAAGGTCAACCTAATCGCATTACCCCAGGCGCCGCTCCTGTGTCATGTGTGTAACGGTGTTTTTGGGCCGGCCCTGTCGAGCCGAGCTCCTGTTTGAGCCACTCTGTCCGTCCGAGTCACTTTCCAGCCGGGAGGCGGGGCATGATAAACTCGAGTATTGAAAACACGCTTTTGTTCAGAACTTTGGCTGCTCAGGCTGATTCAGGTTGTTTAGTGGAATTCGTTGGTCAGGATAGTAAACAGCTTCCAAAAAAGGTTACCTATTCATGTTACCACACGAACAATGTCTTGCCTGTTGTCGAACGGACCCCCTCGGTTTTTCGCGAATAACTCGCGTAAAGAGCGGCTGATCGAGACGGAACTTTCAATACCGTCGCGTTGATCAATTTTACACCTATCCTAAAGATTTAATGACCCTGACCCTAATGACCTTTGACCTGTGACCTACTTTTTTAGACCATGTTTGGCCGGAATCGCGATTCAGCGTATGTCGGCTCGCATGAGCCGCGCGTTTGCAGTCTTTTCGTGGTTTCAAGCGTTCAAACATGGGATATGATGCTGCTTCCATGAATTAGGGTGGGTGACAAGGTCACCGGAAGGTCAGGTCAGCTCATTGACCTTTGATGACCTCGGTTCACTTTGTTCCAGTTTTACATGTTTATAGGCTAGTTTTTGGAGCTGAATTCAAATTTAGCAGCCATTTGAACATTTACGAAGTAATTTTGGTGCTTTCGTAACATGTTACGAAGCTGTCAGAGGCGGTTGCCACCTACTACGAATACGCGGCAAAACCCTTACTGGTTGACCTGACTTGACCTGACCCGACCTGGCCTAAATGCATGAAGATATCGTCTAGGTTCATCACTTACATGATATTCGTGATCATCACCTCGAAAAAAACCATAGCAGCCATCCTTTGCGACGTTCTAACATGTCCCGATTTTCCCGACTTTTGGGTCATTGGCCTGACCTGGAAGGTTACCCGATGACCAAGGACCTTAAAATTGGGTATCATCGGCTTCCTTTCGTCACGAGCAGCACGCTCGTTTTTTTCTGCGAAGGTCATGGGCGAAACGGCAAGGGGGGCAACGGACTCCCGCCCATACGTTCGTGGCTAGAAAAACACCAATACGGGCGAGGGTTAAGAGTGTGTCTTTTAACACAAAAGTTATTGTGTAGAAGGCAACGGTTGTGGGAATGGTAGGTCAATGTACAAATAAAGGCTTGCATAGTATTGACGGTATTGACGATATTTCGGAAAGTTTGGCCCCCATCTTGTTTGGGCCCTTTTTCTGAAAACCTGCCCCCGCAAGGCAAAATCCGTGGCGCCGTCCCTGTGTGACAGCCGTTACGAGACGGGTGAAATAACTGGTATCGTTTCACCTCAGTGCGTGGAGGTCGGTGGTGTGCCGCGACACGTAAAAGACCTACGCCCGCGTGCGCCGTCTGAGTGTTATGAAGCGTCGTCTGCGAACGACGACGGTGATGAGCCCGTGATGTTCTGGACGGGAGACGCTGGAGCGCACGCCGATGCGGCGGTGGATGGAGATAACGATTTGGCTGCGGATGCCGGTGGTGTCGATGCCGATGGGCGGGCCGAGCCGCCTCTGAGGAGGTCACAACGTCTGCGGAATCCGTGTCCGCCGTGCAATTGTGGCCGTGAGTGACTTAAAAGTCAGGGGGGAATGTACTGGGCACTGGCAGCGCTGATTGTACTGTGTTGTATTGTGTACTGCAGCGCTGATCTATTTCGCCGGCACGCTCGGATTGGTGCACGTGCGGGCGATCGAAAAATCAAGGATGTGCCGGCGGCCGGCGGCAGCGGCCGACTCGGCAGTGCGAGTCAGGCGGGTGCGGGGGAGTGTTGTTTTGTGTGCAGGTGCCCATTGCGAGAGTGAAAATATAATTTCGGATCACATGAAGAAGAGGACAAAACAGACGGATTAGTATTGTATGAGTCTTTGTGGCACAATAGATATTTGAATTTGGACGACATGGTTGGAATACCGAAAAAGAAGCTTCAAAATAGTGGTGTGCTACGTATTAACGACATTTACGATAGAAATGCAGGCAGGCTGATGCCACCCGATCAACTGACAGAAAAATATGGCATTGGGAACTTCCTGTTGTGGCATAGAATCTTAAAAGTAATCCCAAAGGAATGGAGACAAATACTGCGTGAGAAAAGACCGAGGGTGAGAGAAGTAAGGCCGGAGATATACGTTACTTTACAGGAAACTATAAAGGTAGCAAAGTGGGCATATTCCGTACTTATGAAATCAAATAAGCTGTCTTGTCCTCGCAAAGCACAAACCAAATGGGAGCAGGAACTGCAAGGAGTGCAAAGCTCTTGGCCATCAGTCTTTAAGATACTATATAAAAGTACACAAGATTTTAAACTGAAATGGTTGCAACTGCGTATCCTGCATCGAATATTGCCTACCAATAGAGTACTTAATTGGATGAAAATAAAAGAGTCTAGCATGTGTGACCGTTGCTTTGAGCCCAACGAGGATATATATCATGTTTTTTGGGGTTGTAAAGACGCAAAGAGATTTTGGATGAGACTGAAACATACGCTTGTTTTACCGAAACATTTCACACCAGAAGATATCTTTTTAGGTAACGTAACTGGAAAAGGAAAATGGACGGCAGCCCCCTTACGCGTGTGTGTACTGTTAGGAAAACAGTTTATATGGCAATGTCGATGGTCTGGTGAAGAGCAAAGCGTACAGCGGTTTTCTTTGTATCTTGCAAAGTATATATCAGTTGAGAAATGCATCGTAGCACGCAGAGGGGGAAGAAAAAGGTTCGATGAAACTTTTGGGTTACTGTGGGAAGCCTTGTGTACGAGTAGTACCTGATTGTGAAATGGACAGACGTGGGCTCAGGATTGGAAGGGGGAGGAGTGTATGTAGTGGGATTCCTGTTCTAGGTACAAACAAAAATCAGCCACCGCTCCCATGACCCATCCGGGCCAACCCGGGACCGGCCTCTTTGACTAGGGCCGGTCGGCCGGCCGGGCGTGCGGGGCGCCGGCCCTACAAGTCGACGGCTCGCACGCCCGGCCGGTGGATAGGGGGCGCCGCCCGCGATACCCCTTCGCCGGGCGGCGCGGGCGGTGGCTGATGGCCCACGGTGGCTGATGGCAGGCGGGCCACACCACGTCGCGTGGTGGTGAGTGGTGACGAGCTATACTTTTATAGCTCGGCCGCCGCCCAGTCAAAATGCAGATGAAATGTGGCGGGTGCACACCGCAACGTTATGTTGATGCTCATGTAGGGTTGAGGGGGTTGTTTGCCGTGCTCGATGCCGCTACTTATCTCCCGTTTGCCAGCTGTACAGGGGACTAAGCGTGGAAGGCTGTGTCTCACATGGTGTATGTCTGTATGTTCGTGTTTGGGGGACACCGGTGTGACAATTTCGTAACCCGTGTTCTCGGATATATGTAATAAACATATGAAAAAAAAGACTCGTATACCATAGACTGGCATGCCATGACCAACCTAAGCGACATAATTATGCAAGAACGGAGAGGTAAGGAGCTATGAGCCTCATTCTTTGGCCAAGTTCTAATATTTATATTGGATAGTTAGGTACTCCAAAACAAAAGCTGTAAGAGAAGAAAAAGGTCCGAAAATAATAAGTTAAGAGACATGATGACATGAATGCCGCAGCGATATCTCTCTATAACATATGTCCGGTTACCCATACCTATGTTCATTAATTGAACTGAGTACACTAATTCGGTAATAAATGTGACACAGCAAATTCGCGAGGACGACATGCTATTTAAAGGGACCCTCCCACCTTCAAAAAAGTTTATGAATTGGCATAAAAGTGATGTCGCTCGGTTCAGAAAGAGCGAAAACGAATATCTACCAAATTTCACCGAAAAATATTCACCGGTTTTCAAGATATTAGACTTTTACTTTTGTTTACTTTTTGAGATCTCCGCTGTTCCTAGCGACTTTATTTGGAAGCAATAGTTTGGCAGCTGAAAGTGCGGCACTTGTTGCGCGCAAAGCAGCATATACCACCGCGTGCTACAAAACGTTTTAGTCAAACATTAAAAAATCGTTAGATATCTGCGCTGACGTCACACATTCAGAGGGGTATTCCTAAGCCCCTCTGAAACAAAATGCTGCAATTTTGAAATTCAATATTTCCGATTAAAGGCATTTCTCGATGTTGTGAGTGCCGAAACCGGTAATTGTGAGCCAGGGACCCCATTTTGGCTATCTCAACTCAAATCTAAGGTTAAGGTGGGAGGATCCCTTTAACCCGCGCGGGGCTGGGGTCTCCAGCCGAACGCGCGGGGCTGGGGGGGTAAATTTTACCCCCCCTGTTATCTCCCGAACTAACGGTCCGATTTGGAAAATTCAAACGCCAATCGAAAGCTCTCATCACGAACTACTAAAAACATGTACTTAATTTAAAGTTTGAGGTCAAGGTCAAGGTCAGGTCAAGGGTACAAATTGCAAGTTTCTACAGTATCGGCCTTGCACCGTAGTTGCCGAAGAATGGAGTCATGGACTGAGACTGATCGCCCAAAACGTGTTCTTAGGCTACCAAGACAATATTCGTTGCATACAATATCATTCAGAGGTCAAGGTCAAGGTCAGGTCAGGTCAGGTCAGGTCACCAAAAAACAAAATATAGAAAAGGGCATGTGCGACACATGTTTTATGGGTCATTTTACTCATAGAATTCAAAAGGCACACTCAATAAGTGATGTGGACCACCTCTGGATGAATTTCAGGTCGAGGTCAGGTCAAGGTCAGGTCAAGTGAGGTCAAATTTTGAAGTTGGTTGTTAAGGCTTAAAAAGGTGTCTATCTGATGCAGTTTTTCACGGCGAATCGAATGGTGCTATTTTTGTTTCCGTACGAGGTCTAGAACTTCCAAAATAGTCATTTTTCAAAAATTTTGTGTGTCGTGACGTCATAAAATTTTGAATAACTCCCATATTTTTGAACCGATTCTTCTAAAATTTGGTATGTAGGTGCACATAGACCACTTCTCTGACATATATTCCGTTTTTTTCGATAGACTCAAAATTTTGGATTTTATAATGATTTTCCCCAAAAAGTCAGTTTTTTGAAAAAAATTTAGGCCAAAATCCAAAATTTTCAAAAAACGGAGATAGCCATTTGATAGACAAAGTAAAATTACGTATAACCTTTTTTGTTACGTCTTGATTCCTTTAAAAATGAAGATGTTAGCGGCGTTTGAACTTTTGCCGTTTTTGAGGCGAAAATGACGAACATGACGTCACTAAAACGTCAATTTCTCAAAAATTTTCCGACGGATGTCGCTCAAATTTTCAGGGAACGTGTCAAATTGAGGTAAGAAAAGGTACTGAAAGTTTGGCGGCGCTGCGCGCCGCCGTTTTTGAGATATCGCAAAAATTCGCGAGGGGGGGGGGTAAAATTTACCCCCCCAGCCCCGCGCGGGTTAAGCAGCAGGGAGCAACTGCACACATCACTTTGCTTTTTGCTCTGACCGTAACGAAACGCAGTCACACACAGGCAAAAAATGCTCAGGCCAGTTATGTACGGCGATGTTGGGCTCAATAGAAGCTCATGAAGCCATGATATGAGATCATTTTGTTCCGATATTTCTGTCAGCATTTGCGCAATCCACGACCGATTGTACCGAGGACTCCAGATTAAAGGCCCCTAGGGCCCCAGACACTGGGTCGTGTCAAAAGCCCAAGACCTAAGGTACCTAAAGCCCCGGACATCATTGTCTTTCAAACTTGAAAGGCACAGATCTAAGGTCCCAAGTGAAGAAACCCAAGCACCAGTGTCTTTCAATTCGAAAGCCTCCTCTCTCAAACTTCGACGATAGTTGGCACGGTTTATATAGCCTTAGTTGGGACTAATCGTAATCACAGATTCCAAAGGTGCATACTATAATTTCAGGAGTTTACACTTTCAATGTTTGTTTGCCGTTGTACACAACGCATTACATTTTAAGCTAACGTTGCAGCGGTAAGTATGCAGATGTTAGGTACTCTAAGACGGTTGGTCCCAATTCCCAATGACAAAACGTTAACAGCGTAAGATCATTCTTAACGTGATATTTCAAGCCATTGCCCATAGACTTTCTAATTTTAAGCTCTAATAACTTTGAGGATCAAACTTGTTGGCGTTTTTCCTAAATAGGGAGGCGTTCTTTCAATGCGTTCATACGTTCTTTCACGCTTGACTTCAGGGTGAATCCCGGAAGGTCAAGACGTTACATAGACTAGGGAGGCTGCGTTCTATCCCGGCAGTTGCTGGAGTATTTCGCCACCCGCCGTTTGCTTGGGGGGGGGGGGGGGTAAACGCCCCCAGCCGATAACTCGAGAACCAATAGGCGCAGCGAAACGCACGAGGCGGCAAACGAAAGAACGCGACGAGACGCTTCAGCCTTCAGATGAGTACTTTTAAAGGTAGTGTGCCAGCTTTCTTGGACCGTATGGAGTTAATGGCCCAGATAAGGAGAACCAGATTTTTAGAACTTATCCATACCTTCAAAACTCATGGAAACGTCTTAAATTCTTCAAATTTTGAGTACCCCAGTGCGAAATTCGCCCCGACGGGTTGTCGGTCGTACCCCAACCACATTTCACACCACTATGAACAATAAATGCACACACTGAAATCGCTATTACCGATATGTTCATCCAATCAAGTTTCGATAAACCCGTTCATCATCATCTCCTGCGGTTTCGAACACGCCTGTTAGGTGGCTTCTGATGCTCGTCGAGGTCGGAATTTCCAAATACGCGTGGTGCGTCGGGCCGCGCGCTCTGACTTCGGCCAATAAAAATGCGTCAGCTGATCATTGTCATTTCTGCCACTTGCGTGTGGTGAAATGGGGTCATAACTTATAAGACGGCTTTTTCTTATCAATTATTTTACATAAAATCATATTTCAAACCATAAATAATGTTCGACAGCCAAATAAAAGAAACAGTACCAATACGGGCTTACAGTTTAGGGCTCGACATTGTGTTGTCTACAATTAGACAGCTGATAACTCATTCCCGTACGTCGTATGGTCGTAACACTATAATGACCTTTGCTTATTGTCACAAGTGCGCCGCATTCGCGATTGTTGCCCGACGCCTGTTTGCAGGTGAGCCCACTACAGTTGTTATACATATCTAAAAACCGATAAACTTTTAGGCGAAAAAGGCACTATTCCAGGCCCATTTTTGATTTTTTTTTTTGCGATATTAGGTAAAAACAGAAGCTTCTTATCCTAGGAAAAATAAAATGGGAAATCTTTCAAAGGTGGCACACTACCTTTAAGTTGAATTTTGAGGTCACAGGTCGGGTCAAGGTCAGGTCAAACACCTGAAATCGGGCTTTCAGTGACATGGACTTCAGAACCTCGCAATGGGCGTCTCTCGTCATAAACTCTGTCAAAACGGTGCACAAGCCATCATATAAGGCCTACAAGAGTGTCAGGTACATGTAGGGGTCAGTCAAGCATAGGTCAGGGTCAAGGTCAGGTCAACCAGGTAGGCTAATATCCCCGAAAATCAAAACTGGTATTCGCAGTCTGTGATACATGTTTATTTGGCGTTCACGGCATGTCTACTCTGTATCTTTATTCTGTGATTTTATATGATTTTTTGAACATATGCCGTTTTTGGTCGAAAACTCAGAAATCATGACGTCACTAAAACCTCGATATCTCAAACATTTTCCGACCGTTTTTTTAACTTTGTCACAATAAACTTCAATCAATTTCCTACAGGTACCTACCCAAATTTTGGCGTACCCCCCAGAAACTCGCGGGGTAATTACACCCAAATGGTAGCTACAGGTGACCCGCTTGCTCCGCAACGCGAGGAATGGTTATTTTCGATCCGCGGTGATGGCTTGGTCCTGTGTCGATTGGTCTGGTGTCCCTGTGGTTCGATTGCGTTTTGACAGCTAAACATTTTGTTATAGAAAAAAACATCCATCACATTGAGGTGCCCGTATCGGAATAGCATACGTTCTGCTTTTGGAAGGGCTAAAAACTGACTACAAGGTAAGTGAAAGATATCGATTTATTTCGCGAAAAAAAATGTGTAGGTATGCAATGGTTCAGCAAATTTACATTTTCAAGCATACTGTCGTTCGTTATGCAAAAATGATGAGCGGATCTTGGACAAAAATTGAATGCTCTTTCTTACGATACCATTTTCAATTGCTAAGCGTGTTTGAGAAAGTGGCATATCATTGACAAATACCATTTTCTCTAACGATTTGAACCACCTTGATTTTGATCGATTAGCTTTTC